ATGTAAAATTTTGTGTAATTATATTTTAATTCAAATGTATCAAGTTGGTGTATCATGCTTAATGAGATGACCAATATTTAAAATATAAAATATTCTAAATAATATAAACAGAAAACATATTGCTGTATTAATATTTTTTTGTAATTTTGATTGGTTAAATAAGGTTTAACCAATCAGAATTGTGATTTTTAGATAAGAATTTTATATTAAGTATTTTCAAACACTTATTTTAATAAGCTTAAAAAAAATCCAATTAGTCTGTTACTCAAACTGATAATTTTAATTTTTTTTTTGTTTAAAATTTTCTAAACCTTATATAATTTCTAAAACATATTATTTAAGATCCTAATTATAGATGTAAATACTTAAAAGATCAAAAATACCAATTTTTTCTTCTTATATTAATAAAAAAAAAAAAAGTTATATATACAAGCCTGAAAGCGTAAAGAAAAAAAACAACTAAAACTTTGTATACAATATGGAATAAATAAAAAAAAAGAATAGTTCGAATGCTGTATAATTAAATAAAGCATATAAATCAGAATTTAGAAGGTATAAGGCTTAAAATGACTAAAAATTTACTATTAACTCAAACCTTACCTCAAATATGTATTATAAATTTCACGTACATTTAGCGAAAATGGCAAACATTACTATTGGCATGTGATTCGTATCACTTGCAGGAATAAGTAAATCCCCGGTTTTCACTGCCCACCATTAAATCGAAAGATTGTGGTACAGATTAATAGACTAGATTACTTGAAACAGTATATAATTAATTAACCAATTATATTACTTAAAAAATCTTTTACTATATTAATCTAATAAGGGTCTACAAATGGTTTTTGATTTAATTAGTTGACAAACACACAATATACTGTATATACTAATAAAAACACCAACATTTAAATAAAATCCAATATTTTCTAAGAGATTAATCTTGAACTACAAAAAAAAAAAAATTACTAAAGAGATTAAATAAATAGCTATCTCTCTAACTGTATAATGTATAATGTACAAAATGTAAGAACTCGATTTCGGATTTAAATATAGATTTGAACCGATTTTTCGATTCCAGTCCAGTTTTGTATAAACTCGAACCGAACCGGGCAATACCGAAACTTAGTAAAACGCTTCTACGTATGAAACTTTAGAAGCCTAATTACTATATTTACATTAAATTTATGAAACGAATTATATGTATTAGAGTTATTTGTGTTTCAAACCAAGACAAGAAATATAATTCTAGATATATAGTATAAACTCGGTACAGATCAGATAACATCAAATCACATGACTATTTTACTATAACTTAATTTTTTTAATGTCTTTTGATGCATTAGAGAGGTTCCTAAAAAAACGTGTAATGGGTTGAGAATGATTGTTTTATTCAGCGAATGACAATAAATCGAATAAAATTCCATTTGCAAATACAATGTATTTATGCTATCTAAAAAGAAAGAAGAAAAAAAAGTACTGTACATCAATGCGATTAAAATAAGACGATAGATGCGTTAAAATCTTTATACAAGAAAAAAAAAAGAAAATATTCGCAATATACATATACGCGATACAAAAGTGAAAAAAAAAGAAACTACATTATGTTTATATAGTTAAAATGAAAAGCAAAAATTAATATCTTGCTTAGTTACTTTTTGTCTACGTTAATTGATTATTTATAAAATAAGAATAAAATAACCAATCTACGTAAATCTAGTATGCATAAAAGAAAAAAACTGTCCAACAAAAAAAAATTTTCAAATTTTACTATTTTGTTTCATATTCACATCATTATTAATATTATTAATCAGTAATAACCATTAGGACCATTTCTGGGACCGCTACTTAATGGAGGGCCTACATGTGATTGAGGACCAACGGGACCTAAACCATTTGGTTGTATATTATGAGGATGTGCACTACCATATCCAGCAGGTTGATCTCGTAAAAAGCTTGTTAAAGGACGGCTTATAATTTGATGTTGATCATTATTTGATGGACCAACAAGTTCAGGAGGTTGCGAGTTATGATGATGAGATCCTACGGGAGGTAAGCGAGATCCATTCTGTTGTGAAACTAAACCTTGTTGAGAATTATGATAATGATTCATCGCTGGTGACTGCGGCGGTATTAGTGGGGGTGGTACAGGAGAAGATTTGCCATTATATAAATGAGAAGGAGGACCCTGTGCAGGAAGAGGTTGAGATATATATGAAGATTGACTTGAATGTGGTTGGTGATAATGATGCCCTTGCTGTGCATGAGGATGATGAGTGTGACTATGGTGTGGTTGATGATCTTGCGAATAATGATGAACATGGTGTGGAGAAGGATGATGATGATGATGATGATGCAATGATTGTGAGTGAGAAGGAGACGATTGAATTGGAGGCAGAGTTGTTGGTTGTTGGCGAGGTACACTCCCTGACCGAGACAAAGGCGATGGTGGGGTACGGTGTTGAGAATCAGGATGAATATTTGGCATAGACTGATTATGCCTAATAGAATGATTCTGTGGTTGAATGTGAGTAGGTAATAAACTAGGGGAATTATGATGAGAACCAATTGGTCGATGTGAAGTATGCGGTGGTTGAGGCTCTGCCACAGGAGGTCCATGAGGAGGGTAGCCACGAGTCAAAGAACTTTGCTGTGAATGCATTGTAGAATCCGAAACACGACGAGACTGTACACTTGAAGGATTCGCCTATAATAAAATAAATGAATGAATAAATAAATGAATTAAAAAATATGAACATGTATGTATATATATATGTATATACATATATATGTGTATATATGTGTGTATATACATACACACATATATATGAATATACACACATATATACACATATATATGAATATACACACATATATACACATATATATGAATATACATGTATACATACATATAGATGTATATACATAGATTCATTATAAAACATTTTCAAATTAAAGTGACACAATACCTCAGGATGTATATATCCAGGATTATTCGGTTGCAATGGAGGATATCCGGGATGCTCCATACGAGGAGGGTACATGCCAGTTCCATTCATTTGAGGATGATGATGATGGTGATGAACCATTGGTGGATTTACTATTCCATGTTCATTATTCATGGGTGAATTATCAGGTATTACTGAAGGGCGATTAGGCATCATATTACCGTTTGGAGGTGGAATGTAATCTTTACTCCTATCGTCTTGAAGCGACTACAAAGATTTCAATATAAATCAAACGGATGTGCATAAAGAAAACGCGAGGTAACCGATAAAAAAAAAAAATACAGATATTACAATTTTAGTAAACTTGTACACGTACAAATTTGATAATGTAATTTCTCACTAATAAAATTATATAAGGAATTTATGGTAAAGAATTACGGACCGTTGTGTAAATCATGTACGAAATATAAGCATGCATAGCATTCCGTTTTTTTTTAATATTATGCTTCTGCTGTTGCAAAAATGAATTTATAGATCACGTAACCACACCTCGTGATGAAAGGCCAGTTGTGATTAAGATAACTTGATTCACGTACCATATCATTATACATTCTACAAAAATTAGCATTATTTGAGGGAATTGATGATGGTGGACGAATTTGACCATTTTGTTGAGGTATTGATGGTGTAATAGGTTGATGTGGTGATGATTGTGGTATATCCTAAAATTATAAATTATATAAATAAATTATATATAAAAACAAAATTATGTTATAATGAAAAATAACTAACCGGATTTCCAACCATACCACCTACACCAACACTATGAACATAACCATTTGGAGCATTAGTTGGAGGTGGAGAAGTTTTTGGTAGAGATCTTTCATTTGGATTTGGATTAATTATGAAAGGCTTAATGTTCATGGATTTATCACCAGACATTGGTGGTGAACCACAATTCTTTGATTGAAAACGAACAGAATGATCAGCTGGTAAAGACCTAGGTGGATGAAACTGTTGTTGTTGCATTTGATGATCCCAATCCGTTGAATTAGTTGGGCCCACTATAAATATATATATTTTCAAATAATTTAGTTTAAAACAAGAAACAAATTGAAACTGGTAAAATTATTAAAATGATAAAATTTATTTCAATTACGACGAACCTTGTGAAGGAGGCAAGTAAAGCGATGGTTTCTGCTCTTCGTTTGGATGTTCACGTAATTCGGAAAACTTTTGACCGCTAGATGGATAGGGCATTTGATCGGGAGTACGATGTATCTTTGTTCTTTGAGCTTATCAAGACACATGAAGAGTCAGGTTGAATTACATTTGAAAGTCAATAAATCGAATCCAACGAAAAAAGCACATACAAGATTCGTTCGGATCAGATGGCCTACGTTTCTGCGGACTCTTTTTTGAATATACTTTTGTATTTATGGGTAAATGCGGTGAAACATTCTAGGAAGTAGAAATCACGTGAGTATTGAGTAAAAACAAATTGTTTTTGTTTGTTTTAAATAAAATATAATTACCAAAGGACGTTTTGTTGATTTCCTTGAATTACCATTATTAGTTGCATTAAAAGGAGTGTACTCCATATTTTGTTGATTTTGAGTCTGATGTTGATGATTAGGATGATGATGAGAAGGTATGTCACCATTTCTCATTTCATCAGGATATGAATCATGATGATGTTGGTAATATCTCGGTATTGTATCCTGGTAAGAATGAAGATAGTATCAGAAATGCGGATAAAGAATTAAATAATAAATGAAATTGAAAAAGTATTAACTGTTGATGTAGGACCGACTTGCATGGATTGAGCAGGATCCGAAGAAGTCGACTCATCACCTAGATCAATTGATAGGAGATTTGAAAATTTTTAAGGAATTAAGAGGATTAAGAAATTAAGAGGATAAAGAAACCAAAGTATTAAACTAACCTGATATTAATGAAGAGATAGCCATGGAGTTCTTTGGTTTAGCTTTTTGCTATAAAATTAATGATATCAAAAGATTTAGAAAATTTGAAGATTCAAGAGATTCAAAAGAAAAAAGATGGAAAAGAAAAGGCATTTGTATAGAAAAAGAGGAAAAATCAATACGCACATTTATTTGAGGATGAATTGATTTTGTATCATCAGGAGAATGTGATAAAGAAGAAATAGTAGAAGCGGCCAATTCAACATCAGATATCTGTTGACCATTATCCTTAGAAGAGTAATGATCTCTTGACAAACCATAATGAGGAGGACGTTGTGATAAAAGAATTAAAGTTTTACTGGCTTCATCAGCGTCAGCAGAAACATCATTATTTAAAAATGATTGACGATTGTTTTGTTCAAGCGAAGAGAGAGGTTGATTGTGAACAGGTTGTGGTTGCTGCTGCTGGACATGGGAATAATATTCTCTTCCTTGTTCGTTCGGATAAGTGGCATAAACACCATTACTTAGACCACTGTTATTGCTGGCACTGTGAGGGTATTGTTGTTGCTGAAGAGACGCGTGTTGTTGGGTAGGGCCGTCATCAGAGAGTAAGTTCCTCAGACTATGACCAGAATTTGAAGAGAGGTGATGGTCCGAGGAAGAAGTAGCAGCAGAACTATCGTTCATAACGTGAGATATCGAAGCTTTACGTGAGTTCATTTTTTCTTTTTTATATATTGTGCGTGTGTAAGCACGGAGAAAATTTTAATATAGATAGTTGTATAAAAAAAATGTTTTTTTACATATATATAATATTATTTATATATATATATATTACTCTTTAAGTATGCTCTTTTTTTTTTGTTAAGTGTTTAAAGAAAATTTTAGAAGAAAAGTTTTTAGCATTTCCAAAGACGAAAGGAATAAAAAGTTTTCACAAGTTGAAAATATGGAGAAAGAACAACGCAAAACACACAAGACTTTTTGAATTTACAGTAAAACTAGATGTCAACTTATAAAAAAAAGGTCTAACATTCTCAATAAAAAAAAAAAGGTTTATTTAAGTCCCGTATAAATTCGTATAAATTTAAATTTAAATTGAAATAAGATAAATTCATAAGATAAATTCATAATATAAAAATTCACAATTTTAAATATATAAATATATTTATTAGTTTAAAGTATAAAGTATCAAGATTAAAAAATATGAAAATGGCGTGGTATTAATCGTAAAAGTAACTGCAGTGTCACTGCATATATGGGCTATCTTTTGGAAACACAAGCAAAAAAAATAATCAATAGTATAAAAGATTATGTGAACCTAGTTTAACATCCTTACTTTAAACCATTTATGCTAATCATAGTATGTATGTACTTATGTATGTACGTATTTGATTATTATAATTATTATCTGCTGTACTGTATATAATTTACTATAATTTACTTAATTTACTGTATCAACTGTACCATTTATACTTTAAACTTCTAACATACACCGAATTTTAATAGTTTATGTTTATTCACTTCATACTGTAAATAAATAAATAAAAATACTTTAATAGAGTAAACAATTTAAGTAATTATCTTATGTGAGGATCGTATCGTTATGTGAAGATATTATTAAGTATATTATATTGAATATATAATTGTATATTATTGGTATATTATTAAATATATTATACGTATATTATTGTATTGAGAGAATTGATAAAAAAAAAAAAAATGGTTCCATAAACCGAAGTTGCTTCATCCTCAATAGAGATTGTAATGATATTATGACTATATTAATAGTAATATTTAACAACGAATAACTATATTAATAACGACAATAACGATAATAACTATATTAATACTACAATTAATACTGTAATATCAATAAAGACTGGAATGACTATTCTTAGAAATTCACTCACAGGAAATGAAAAAAAATATCGAAATATTGAAAATGAATTCAAAAGTATAATGTTAAACTTAACCAACAACAACAGCAAAAGTTGAGGCGAATTTTCAAAAAAAAAAAAAAAAAAAAATGTAATGCAAAAGATTTTTATGCAGAAATTTCATACCACACTTGAAGGCCCCGCATGAACCGCACAAAGGAAAAAAAATTAACAGCATGCGCTTTACTACATTTCACAATCTACATTTAACGCACATTACATTATCAATCAATCATTTTGAATGCGGAAATTACAGCAGCGGGTTGCCGATTGCGGTTTAGATTCTGTAATGGTTTAAGTAGTGGATGTACGTAACGGTAATTTACGGAATTATAGTTTAGACTCCACCGATAATGCGCGTAATTACCTTCATGATACTCTTGTAGTTAACAAGCTTTAAGTAGCCTCCGAATGCTCTCTTTAAATAGCATTTTAAAAATAACCTCTATCCTAAATGCGCTTGTCTCGATCGTTTCTTGATTGTGTCGTAATGTTGAAATAAATTTCTGGTTTTAGACCGCTGTCGCTCCATAAAACAATACTGCAAAATTTGTGTAAATATTTTAGTGTAAATAATAAACTCTTTTTTCTCCTGCACAAAACTGTGACAAAAAAAAAAAAAAAACAAAGCAGGTTTACGGAGGGCGTCAAACTAGAATTGGATCTTTTTTTTTTATCAAGATTACTTACTATTCATTTCTATAAATTACAAACATAAGATGTATAAGATGTACATGCCACACACTCTCACTGTGCATACATTACCGTATATACTCCTGTATACACACTGCATATACTTATTGTATACACTCATTGCATATACTTACTGTATACACACTGCATATATACATTCAAGTATATATACTTCAGTACTTATTGTATATACCATATACACTCGCCGTACACATACTAACTGTACACATATAAACTGAAGACCGTGAAGATTTAAAAATAATGTGATATCACGAGTGTTACAAAGCAAAAAATAGTTAAAGAGCGACAAAGTGAAAAACAGAAAAACAGTCTTATTTCCCGATAAAGAAATTTGGCCCACTTGCCCCGCATATTTGTTAAAAAGATACGCAGTGCAACTTTGGACCTTATTTACTGCGCCTTGTTATTTTTTTTATCGGTTCCACAAGGTTACAACGTGCAACCCATTCTTCGTTCCAACTTTTTACATCAATGTGAGCGACGACAATGTCACCCCCTTGAGGAAATTCATTATTATCACGCGGTTATTTTCAGTTTTGATTTTTTGGTTTGTCCAACCGTTGATCATTTTTTCTTGATTTCCCCCCTCCCCCCTCAAACACTTTTTCCCTGCTTGTGTTAGCATTTGTGTGTTACCGCCATTTTTATTTATATATCAGTATATCGTTAATAAATGAATTTAAATTATGTACATACCATGGATGTGAACTCTATTAAAAATAGGAAATAATTAATATGCGATGGTCACATGTATAACTATAATTTGATCATCCATAATATGTCCATAATATATACATACAATATTACAATACTTACAACCGTTACATTTTTTGTGTTCAATATAAATAGTCAACAAATATGATAGTGTTCGGAAAAATCGTAAATCTTGCTGCGCCTCGTGCACAAACATTCTACTTCTACCTTCATTCTATCATGTTCTTTCCTTTTACTATTTATATGTCACTGAAATTTTTCTTTCATTATCAATCCATTGTATTCAATTCTTAATTGTTTCTGACGTTTGATTTTTTTTACCTGTCATTTTTATTTCCTTCTTTATTTATAATAGAATTATTTTTTTTATCTCATTGCAACACTGCAATTATAATTTGTTTTATATCAGGAAATGATCTGGCATCATCGTCATGTTCTGCTTTTGTCGATTTCTTCCCATAAACTAGACTTGTACTTCCTTAATCGCCTGAATCGTTTTTATTCAATGTTTATATTAAGAATGTTTCTGTTGATCTATTCTATTTAAGGGTGATCAATTAAAGATTCTCCAAATCTTTCATTTCTAAAATCCTCACACATCTTCCCTTTTATCTTTTCTGTTAAAATACATTACTACTATCAATATCTTGTACTTATGTGACTAGATCTACCTGGATGGTGACCGGATCCTTCCTGCAAGTTCGTACGTCTGTATGACAGATAAACTGTATGATCTGAAAAAAAAAAAAGTTTTCACAAAACTGAAACTTTAATTTGCATGCATTATCCTGCATATAAATATACTGATTGTGGAACTTATTCCCGAAATGTACGAAATGTATGAACTGGTCTTACCGCAAGTTTTTTTTAGACATAATATTCGAAAATATTTTCTCATTTACATGCTGATCAAATAAACTACTACGTACGATAATGTTCAATCGTTCAATTATTTCTATATTAAATGTAACAGCGGAGAATATATTAACGATTGTGTTAGCAACTTCTTTTTTTATAGGATTTTTAAGTAGAGAAAGCTCCGAAATATATCACGTGATAACGTAAATTAATCATTAGTGAAGCTTGCATTTTATTACTTTATTAAAATTTTTAAATGTTTAATTACCTTCTTTTTTTTTGCTATATATTACAGTCTATTTTAATGCTTGTTTAAATTAATTATATTTAAAACTATAATAATACGTTAATAAAAAAAAAAATCATGCAGGTTAAAATAACACTCACCAGGGTAGATATTGTCATAATATATAATGACGACTTTTACCCAGGTATTGTCAACACATTGAATAACATTGACAAGACATGCTATTTCTCAAAATGGTATAGTACTGTAGTAATAAGCAAAAGTATTTAACGCTCTAAAACCCTTTTCATTCTGGTCTGTCCTAGTCTGTCCTAATCTATAATAATATCCTGATCCGCTGTGTATCGGTATTAGGCAAAGTTATTTATACATATATGGGTTAGGGCATATTCATTAATCTCTGTCATCTTAATACGTATAGCATTCGGGATTATATTGTAATTTTAAAACTTTGAGATAAAAATTCTTTATAAATTTTAACCCTTAATTTATAAGCCATTACAAACTACATATAATTACAAAACAACGCCAATGGGCGAAATTTCCCCTTAAAAAAATGTTATATTTGGTTCAAAAATAACGCACATTTATTTATTATGAGGTAATTAGTGGTCAATCAGTTGATTGTTATAAAAAATAATTGTTACTTTCTCTTTTTCGATTTCAAGCATACGAGTTCATATTTGAACTGTTTGTTTTCCTTTTTATATAATACATTACGTTAAATATTCCAATTATATTGATAATAATTCGTAGGATACAAACCAGGTTTATGGATTTATTGATTTTTTTCGGAACAAGCAGTTCTAATAATAGACTTATATAAAAAGTTCAATTGGTTAGAGCTTACCATGAATTTTCTAATAAATAATCTAGATGCAACATTATAAATAATTAAATCTCATTACCCTAAAAAATTTATATGCGTATCATTTCATCAACAATCGCTTCACCGAGTACCCCATACAACGTATTTAATGTTTACTAATGATTAACAATCATTACTTATCACGTCGCGTGATTGGGTGCTCGGTGAAAGGAAATTATACGTATCCAAAAAATTTCGCTACTATTTTGCCAGCAAATCAGATTTCAAGATCAAGTGTAACGCAGAAGAAACGCAAACAATCAAAAACTGCCTAACAAAAAGTTTTCATTGCGAAATTTGGATATTAACAAAACATCTTTCTAACCCAACTTGATAGTAAACACTAACCCTAATTTATCTGTAATTTTTTTTTTGCCGAAGATTTTTAAACACAAAATCCTGCCTTAACATATAAGTCTAGATCATCACCCTAAAAAATTTCTCCGACTATGTGAGCTTATTAAAAAAAGTGTTTCGCAATTAGTTTAGAGTTAGAATCCCCACAGTAGAGTTTGAAAACTTTTGGCTAATACGCAGAAGGAACTTTCATAGGCAAAATTTAAACTACAAGCGTTTCTTTTGCATTGCACGTGATCTTGAGATCCGATTGGCAGCGAAATTTTTAGACTGGCGATTTAGCTTAATGCAGGCCGATGTCGATCAACGATCGACAAAACCTGACAGAGAAATTTTTTCATACAAAAATTTATTAGAGGATCATAGAAAGCCATTTATAAATTTGGTTTTAAATTACAAAATTAAAAATTTTAACATATATTACGATTAAATTATGCTAATATAAATTATATTAAGACTAAAGATTGGAATCAGTTTGTTCAATTCGACTTTAAATTCGAGTTAACCTGGTTTTATTGCGCTTCGCAAAAAAGTGCAACCCCATGATAACGATAATGGAAAATTTCGGAGATTCATATATTCAATCAGTAATATTTCTATCTATTTTGAAAATTCTCTTAGAATCGAAAAATCGTCTAATTTCCCGTGATATCATGATCTGCGAGGGTCACACTTTTTTGCAAAGCGAAAGTCAATAGCAACTGGTTTAAATAGTAAATCGATTTTATTATAATAAAATAATGGTTTAATTCGAGCAATAAGTTAAGGTTTAACACATTTCAACAATATTATATTTCCCCTACATTTGGTATTCATATCTTCTAGAAAAACAAAGTTTTTTAAACTTTAAATGCAAATATCTCGACGACCTTGACCAATTTTGACAAAATTTTTTTTTTGTTTGAATTCTACATATTCGTAGAATTCAGATAAAAAATTTCATCGAAATGGATAAGGTGGTCATTGAGATATTTTTGCTCAAAGTTGGGAGAAATATCAAAACGTCTATCAAAAGATAAGTTGCGTCAAATGTTTTTCCAATTTTGAGCAAATATATCTCAACAACCATTTGATCTATTTGAATTCTACAGATTTATAGAATCCATATAAAAAAGTTTTCATCAAAATTGAACAAATGGTTGTCGAGATATCTTCACTTAATTGCAATTTTTATAAAATGATGTAATTTATATATTATATTAATTTATTGCATTAATATTAGTAATGTAATTGATTAAATTAAATTTACATAAAGCATTTAAAGGCACACACATCAAAGCAGTGTATTTAACTTTTTTATTTTTATATTTATTTTAATAAATACAAAAGTTTCAAACAAGTTTTTATGTTGAGGTTTTTATTAGTCTTACAAATAATACCGAGCATTAATATAATTTATGTTCTCTTAAATCAAAGTCAATAGCCTAATAAAAAAATTCTGGTTATATGAATTTAATAAACTATTTAGATGCGAAACATGAAAATTTCAAGTTGATTTACTAGCAACATATTGCATCTGATATCTTTTTTATAGAAAACGCTGTTATATTTTATTATTGCACAGCGTGCCTAATATTGTTAATTGATTAAGCCTTATTGTAAAATATTAGTATCTTTTAGTGCATGTGAAAATCTTAATTTTATTGAACATATAAGTCTTTTGAAATTAGATGTTTTAACAATTAACAAGTATTTAACAACTTAGCAGATCTTGTATAAAAAAATTAAAACTACTTAATTAGAAAAAATTGAAATCATGCTTAATAAATAAACAAATAATAAAATTTATTTTGTTGGTTTATTTGATATTTATTAAACAATTTATAGAGTTAAATTTAACAAAAATTTATATAAACGTTCAAAAATGAAAATAATTACAAATACAGGTCAAAATAATAATAATTACAGATAGAGGCCTAATTTTTGAAAATTATTTCAAATAAGAGTCTAAATCTATTATTTGCTATAAAAATATAGTTATAAGATTGTTGTATCACAATAATATTACAATAATTTTTGCCAAAATAAAATGCAAAATCAATTAAAAAAGACAAAATAAAATTAATAACTTAATTTACTATAAGACATTTTAAATATATATTAATTTTATTAAAAATTAAACTTTAATATTAAAATTATATAAATGCTAATTTCTTGTTTATCTAAAATATTATCTTTTTAATTAGCATAAAAAATAATCTAATTTATTTCTGCTAATGTCTTTAATTACAAATATATAAATTATAATCTTTTTTATTATATTTTTTTGTAAGTAATTTGATCTTTTAATATTGTTTTTTTATAATTATATAAATGAGTTTTTTGTAAATATTTTACTTGCTTAACTACAACTAGTAATAAAGTTTTATTATTAGAAAGACATTTTTTGTATTAATAAAATAAATTAATTTTTTATAAATATTTTAAAAATAATAAAATAATAAATAAACACAAATATGTATATAAAAAAACTGATATTTTTTGAAATTGCTAATAGGGTATTTTTTATTTTTATTTTTTTTAAAGTAAGGTCTTGCTTATATTTTATTAAATAATTTATAAAGTGCATATAGTAACAAATATTTAACAATAAAGTTGACAAGTTAGTAACAAACTACAATTCTACTATACATCTTGATCTAATATACAGCAACCTATATAACATTTTATATATTTTAAAATATGAAAAATACATAATTAAACAATCTATTAGATAAGCTATTAAAAATATTTGTAATGCATATATAATTGTTATATAATTATTACAATATTATATAAGCAACATTATTCTACTATTATTACAAATTGATTAAAATGCAACTTGATTATATCTTAACAATAATACTAAAAGAACAAATAATTATACTAACTTCTTACTTAATTAAAATAAATTCTTTAAAATTAAAATACTACTTAATATTTACTAATATTATATTATCTTTATAAACTATATTTAAATAGTTTTTAGTATAATAACTGCATTACTTGTTAAATATCAAAACATCTATTATACTAGTTGTTTTGTTCTAATTTGATTAATTTTACTAGCATTATTACAGAAATAATTTCTAAATTATTAATAACTTATTATTAGATATTACATAATTGCAATTATAATAATTATACTATTTATTTTTTTTTAAATATTAAGGTAACAAAAATATTGTTTTTGACTTATCTGATCTATTTTTTTAACCAGTCTATAAAAAAATAAAGCATATCATTTTTGACTCATATATATAACACAATAATGTTTAGTTTTTTATCAAAATAAAACATGACCAAAATCATTATTATATAGTCAAAATTAGAATTACAGCATAATTAGTTTGTAATAAATTGAATTTACTGCATAATTAATCTGTAATTAACTGAAAGTATATTAAAATTTAGTATAATTAATCTGTAATAAATATATATTAAAGTTATAAAATAAAATTATATAATGATAAATATTTTATATAAAAGACAAAATAATAAAGAGTATAGATCTTTTTGCCTAGTAAAAAATAAAGAATACAAGCTATATTTCTACTGCAACTCATTTTTAATTAGACTACAATAAAATAGATTTCATCTGACAATAAATATACAATTAATTTTGTGCAAGATAACTTTTCATTCTTTTTATATAGATAGTAATGACAATGTTTAACTACTATTTAGATAAGCAGTAGAATATTATTTGTATTTGCTTCCTATATTACAAAATATTTGTTATAAAGTTCAAAGCTGAAAATAAGTAAATGAAATAATAAAACAAGAACTTGTAATAGTTGAGTGTGTAAAAGGTTCTGTTGATTATATTAAATAAAAAACTAAAAAAGATAAAAGAAAATCAACAAATTACTTTGATAATATTCTATGACTTACTGAAAATGAAAAATGCTAAGTTTAACAAATACATGCAAAAAATAAGAATAATATTCATGTTTGGTAATAGATTTGGGTTTGTTCTAGTAAAGACAGCTGCCAAAGAACATGTAGTAGAATTAGCAAATATATAAACATGTAATTACTATTCAGATTAATGTAACCTTAAAAATCTCTTTGATATGCATAAATGTAGTATATAAATTCTTATAGAGAATATGCTTTCTGAAGTTTAAATAGAATTTCCTATATGCATAACTATTAAAAGTAATCATATTTTACCAAATATTATTTAAGAAATATCTGCATTATTTCAAATTAATTTAAGTAAAAAAGCTTATAATTTTGCAAATACAAGCTATTAAGCAGACAAACAAATGATGAAAAAAATAAAAATAAAGCTTTTTTCATTATATAATAGTCTTTCACAAAATGAACTTAACTATTTGTATAGTGACCAAAATTTGATATATGATAATGTAAAGCTTTGTTAGCTTATTGAAAGAAATAGCTTATATATAAAAAAAATATAAGTTTCTAAACAATTGTATATAAATTAGTAACTAATATATTAAAACAAAAGGGTATTATATTATACTACTAGCAACCTATTATAAATATGCCTGAAAACAATTATAAATATTATTATCAGCTTACTTTAAGCAATAATTTATAGCTTCAGCAAGTATATAACTTTTGCTTATTTTGCTTTAGCATTAATAAAAAGTATAATTTAAATTGTAACAAGGCACCAATTTTATCTTTAATAGTTGTAAATAATGCAGATTACAGAACTTCAATTGCATTTGAGTTATTAAATAAAAAAAATAACTATACAATTGAACTTGTTATAAAAGCTGATTAACAAAATATTTCATATAATAAAATTAATTGTTTGCATAAATATGAATATATAGATTTACTAAATAGTAAAGGATTTATGAAACCTGATGGTGTGCATAATAATGACAGCTATTTGCAATAATTAATAAGCATTGACAACAAAATAAGAACTTTAGCTTATTTTTTGTGATATAATTTTATGTTGGTTTCATATAATGCAAACATTTAGTAAATATTTTAAAAACTTAAGAATTAATGACTATTACTATTATCCAATTGCTATAGCTTTCAAAATAGTAGGTCAAAGCCAAAGTGTAGATGAGACCTTAAAGCTTGAAAAGGTTTATTAGCTTTTTATTAAATCTCAACCACTTACTAAAGTTGCAAAAGAATTTTTGTATAATGATTTATTTTCAAATTGGTTGTCTAAAGAATAGATCAATTGCTTTATTGATAATAGTCAAATGCCATCTGTAAATAACTTACCAAATGCTAAACTTATAACTATAAATGATCTTACAAAGAAAATAAATAAGTTAGTTGAAGACTAACATGTAGGTTTTAGCCAGTTAACTACTTTATTAAAAGATTATATAATATTACTTTAACACAGAACAATATTATTAAAGAAATTTTTTCAGTTGGTATTTGAAACAAGTTAAATAACATATTAGAATTTATGAATTATAGAGCATCAAACACTACTATTTAATAGAATGTGGTAATCTAGTGAAGTGGTCAGATTGTCAACCTCCAAGTGGCAGATCCAGAGTTCAAATCCCAGTATTGATGAAAAATTTAAAAATCCTCTCTGTATTATAGTTAACTGTCTCTTACAATTGGTTAGAATAAGATACCTGTTACTTATATCACACCAGCATAACTGGCAAGTCACATGACATTTGTATAACAATCATATGACATTTTTCTTTAAGACAAGATCTGTAGTTATACGAAAAAATGCAAACCAGTACCAGGCAGTGCAAACTTATAATAAGTCATTGTGGTCATATAAATCATAAGAACCAAAAGAAGAAAGACAGAAGCCCAGTTAGAAGACCCAAGTAAAGAGGTAACCTGAACTTTTAACAGTGCTACTGTAAAAACTAGACTTATGAAATGGAGCTAGAACTTGTGAAACCAGACAAATGTGCTAGTCTTTGAGGAGAGACTGAATAAACCAACCAGGTCATCAGAATTTCTGGGTTCTAAAGAAAAAGGGTACATGCTGGCAAACATGTAAACCAGAGGTATATGGTTTTGATCCACTTTTCTGGGGCTATTTGGAATGGCAGCTTAGTGGAACTTGAATTGAATACCAAAGTAGTAAGAATATGTTGTAAAGTTAGTACCAAGGTTGGGATAAACTCTACAAGGACATAGTAGTTTAATGGTATGCCCTAATTACCAGTATTAGTCTTGGTCATAGCGATACTGGATCAGCTGTAAGAATGAGATACAGAAGATTCTGGAAGGTTTAGTACAAGGTTAAAGGTTTTAAAGAACTGCTTTAAAGACTTAGTAGCAATAGCATATTTTCATTAGCATTAGCCAGGGTTGTTGGTAAGCAGAGGTAAATGGGTGGATACAGAAACAGAGTAGTTAAATAGAAAACCTACAAGTGGATTCCAGGTATGGTAGCTAGTGTAGAACCTTTGAGCGGACTACTTAAATTAGACAATAACTAAAGTTGTACAAGTGGCTAGTTGTACATTCTTTTCATGGTTGCTTCCTGTGGTTGTAATGTAATTATTAGTCAAATATACTATCAATAAAATCCTGAGTTGCAAGTACTTACCTTAATATTTAAAAAAAAAAAAAACACTACCATTTAAGCAACTAATAGATATAAAGTAATAATTGAACCAAGAACATTTTTATGTTATACTTTACTTAGTTAAACTTGTAATTAAAGAATCAGATATATATTTTTATGTAAAAAAAAAATGCTGAATTTAGATCTTTATATACTATACAAAAAATTAGTATTAATAACAAATCAAGCAAATTACTTTAACCAATATTAAATGAACTTGCATTTAAACATTTTGTTGCATAGCAAAAAGATTACTACCTTGTTAATATTTTTACAAAGAAATGTATGTACTTAAATTTTATATAAAATGGCTACTTTTGAAATGTATATAAGCATATCTATGCAGCATAGTTGTTTAATGAGGTTGAAGATAATAAAATTATACTGAATATTATTAAAGATAATCTTGTACAATATTTTTACAATAAAGAAAATGCAATGCCAAAAAAGCAAAAGAATCAAATTATATATAATAGCTCAACTAATATTATATTGGAAGAGATTCTTTATATTTATTTAATACAAAATAATGATATTTTTTTTCTCTATAAATGTGAAGCTACAGAAAAAGATCTATTTTAGCCTGCTAAGATGCCTACATAAAGAACTTTAAATGTCAGTTCTTCTAAAATTCATGATGCAAAACCTTGAAAATCAACTAGTTTTGCAAATGTAATAGCTAATAAAGAGGTATATACCATATATATGTATATATAAATTAAATAAATTATATGTATTTTATATAATTTACAAACATATTACTTTTTTAGAATGCTGACATTAAGGATAGTGATAATAATTTAATGCTACTTGATAATAAATTAAAATTATCAGCTGCATTTGAATTAAACTAAACTTTGCTATGTAATCTAAAAAAGCAATCAAATTTATTGTTTTCATCAATTCAAAAATGAAGAACAGTTGTAATTCACAATTGAAAATGTAGTGTTTCAAAGAGACAAGTAATATAATTATCAAAATAAATATGTATTATATATATATTTTTTTTTTGTTAAGATGACCTCTTTGGTCTTTTGACTTTTATTAATTACTTATTGGTAATGTGGTTCAATGAATCACTATAAAAGAGTGTACAATTGACTATATATATAACTTTTCTATATTACTTATTTAAAGAATCCATTCTAAGGTTTTCTACTAATTGTTATATCTAACATTTCTGCTTGTATGTTTCACTTTAAACTCTCTGAACCTGTAATCTGTATTAACTCACTGGGTTATACTCAGATGCCCAGATCATTATTTTAACTTTAGAACTAATTTATTCTTAAAATAAACCCTCTAGAGTCTTCTGTACCTATTTTTATAACTGATCTAGATATTACTATAGCAGAACCAATACTTGTAGTTAGGACTTATCTATTAAACCCTATGCTTTTATAAAGTTTACTTAAACCTCAGCATCTACTTCACAGCATAAGTCTAATACTTTAGTATACTTTTGAATTTTATCAAACTTCCAATTCAGATAGTTTATATAAGACTATGACCAGTTTATTAATATATTAGATTAACCTAATATCTTTTTTCTCTGATTCATTCTGATAATCTGATTAGTGATACCTTTGAGACTTCTAATTCAAAAGTTCTTGCCCATCTGATTATCAAGACCTGAGTATCTGTTTCTCTAAGCTAGTCTTTACAGTAGTATTGTTGAAAATTCAGCTATCTTTCTATTTAGGTCTTCTCAAATGACTTTTTGTTACCCAATTTCAATAGATTTATATAGTCACAAGAACTTATCTAGTGTTTGCACTGCCTAATTTGTTAGTTTGCATTTTTCTATATAACTTCAATATTGCACAGATGCCTTATAACCTGCCAGTCATGCTAGCATGACTACTATTACAAATATCCTAACTTAATCATTAGTAATAGTTGCTATAATATGAATATTACATAAATGTTTATCTAAATTTTTACTGTTAATAGAATTTGAACATCCAATCTACCACTTAAGAGGTTGACAACCTGATGACTTCACTAGGTTATTACACCTTCAAATATGTATTATATTTATATATACTATATAGTATATTAATTATAAATTTTTAATATATAGTTTGTTTAATATAAAGATAGCATTAATGCAATGTTATTCAACAAAGATATTATATGATTCAAACTTAAAAAACTTTTTAAAAAGAAGCAGACTGGTTAAAAGCAATAAAACTTCATAAAATCTTGCCTTAAATAAGATATTTGTTTAAGTAATAATACTGAACAAAATAAAAAAAAGTTATTCATATAGTTTGATAGCAAAAAAAATAAAACAAAGCAAATGTTTAGATTAGAGTTAAATAAAAATTTATAAAGATTCTAAAACATTATGTTTTAATATATTATATGTATATAATAAATTATATATAGTGCAATAGTATATATTATAATGTATAATAATAAGATTATATACAGTATATCTTTTTTTTTAAAAAAATATTAATAGTAAGGCCATGTCTCTATCTTTATTGAATATTTAATTGAGATTTTATATAAAGTACTAATCTATTTTTAAAATATTATAAAAAGAATAAAAGCTTAGACTAATTTATCTGCAACCTAAACCAACTGAAGTGGTTAAAGCTCATCTAGATTTGAGTATTAGTAATAATATGTAGGAGAGTAGTTTAATATTTGATCTATTAGATATACCAAGAATTAATTTTTGAACTAATTGAATTAGAAGAAGGAATGTGTAATACAGAAGGAACAGAATTTAATAAAGAAATATAATTTGGAAGTTGGGCTATAGATCTTGAAATACAGTATAGGATCCAGATTTTGTAATAGATTTGTTGGTTAAGATGAAGTAAAAACTTTATAGAAAATATAATAGCTACCTTTTTGGAAGACAAATTTGCAATAATGTCAATAAGTTTATTTGATATTAAGCCTATTAGAGTTGAAAAATTAATAGTACATCAGATCTATTATGAATAGTTATACTATGAAGTAGTCTAATTTGGTGGTATAAGTTGGTATATTATTAGATGTAAATTCAAGTGTATTTGAGTTGAGAGTATGTTGTAATAAGATATCAATAAAGTTAAATAATAGTTGGTTAAATGAATAAGTTGTCTAGTAAAGATGTAAACTAATTTGATAACATTGAGGACAAATAGGTGAGTATGAGAGATAGTATTTGTGTAGAATATGTGAAGTAGGAAGTTCATCTGATAGGATTTTAATTCTAAAGGATTTAAAAGTAGAAGACTAAAAGCTGTAAGAAAATTGGAGATTTTTTGATTATTGTTAATGTAGAGCCAAATGGCTTGCTAATTAACTTGATTAAAGATTTTATGCCATTTTTGAAAGCAGTTTTGTGTTATCCAAAGTGCATATATATGTGCATGGCATATTGTATAAATGCTATAATGAGTAGGTAACTATAAGGTATTACTTTTATTATATTTTTAATTATATTTATATATATATATAACTTATACAAAAACAAGTATACAATTAGTTATCTATACAACTTTTGGTTGCTTATTTAAGTAGTTCTTTTGAAGATTTTATACTAGCTATCATATTTGTAATTTGCTAAAAGATTACTTATTTAAACACTTTGATTTTATACTATATCAGACAAGTAATATTAAAGCTTTTGTATATCTAAGTGCTATTTAACTCAATATATAGCCTTTTTTTTAGTATATCTGTTAAGCTATTTATCTGTTTTAAAGCATATCATCTGATTATAAAACTCAAAAT